TGGGGGTACTCCTCCCTTCCCCTTACATTCACCCTAGTGATCATATTCATCTCACCTAAATAATCCAGAACACCTCCCCATCTGAAGATCCTTAACACATTCTAACCACATATGCAACATCCTTTCATTATGTAATGTAGCATCCTTTTGTCATGTAATGTACCACAGATTAGGATGTGGACATCTTTGGAGAGCCACCTTTCAGTAGACCAGTCACATGGATAATATGAGAAGGAATTTTGTTCTATGAAAAACTCTATTCTTGTTTTTACTGGAGAATAAAAAGTCTCCATTAAAAGTTAAAAAGGAATGATTTGTAAAAGTTCTGTAGCAGTATTATTAGCCTACAAAAACCTTGCTGAATGGAGCTATTAGTTTCTGAGGAATCCAATAAAATGGGAACATACTGTACTCTAAAGGAGTAGTCATCTGTACCTTGTTCCAATTTGTACTTTGTTCTTAATTTATAGAGATAGTTGAACTAAATATCTCATATTTTTTAATCCTAATTATACCCTGCCCAGACAATAAAAGCTTCTTTATGGTGTGCTCCTTGATGCAGACCAAGGAACCACAGAATGAGTTAAAAGAAAACATTTGGAATTGTAGTTATACTACATATGGTGAATTATCTTAAAAGTACTAAATACAATATTATTTTAGTCTCATATACATGCAAACATACATGCATTTATACATCTACATACACATGTGTGTGCATATATATACACATGCAATTACATATGCAAATACATGTGTATTTATAGTTTGGATCATTTTGGATGGCAAGAACACCTAAAAGTTGGTGTTTGGTGTTGGTGTTTGCCTGTTTTTGCTGCTGTTATTATTATTGTTCAGTTTTTAAGTAAGTCAAATGCCTCTATGAAGGCAGTATAATCCATGAGCAGAACTTTTGCAAGAATCTTTGACTCTCATTGATCAAATTTTTCTGACTTTTGTTAGGTTTTCTGCATTATTAATAGTCAGGAGATCAGTTTAGTCATAATAAGGAAGTTGAATATAGTTTTTCCAATGTTTAGGTATTATCTTTACTCTCCTTAGATTTTTTTTAAAGATTAAAATGGTACATTTTAAAAAATTTTTTAGTTTAGACACAATATCTTTATTTTATTTATTTATTTTTATGTGATGTTGAGGATCAAACCCAGTGCCTTACGCACACAAGGCAAGCACTCTACCACTGAGCCACAACCCCAGCCCTAAAATAGTATACTTTTTGTAAATTTTAAAAAAACATATCTTAAGTTTTAATTTATGTTTTAAGATGACACATTATGTGGATCTGTTTTCTTGACAAAAAGTGTTTGAGAAAAGAATTCATGAGGATCTCAGGGAACAGCAATTCCATTTTGTGGATTTTGCATTAAACAATTATACACTGAAAAACATTTAGAATTATCTCTACTTGTAAATGCACAAATAAGAAAAATTCACTATACAGCCAGTAGAAAACTAAAATTTAAATTCACTACCATTTATAACTAATAATCTTATCTCTAGAATGTACATTGAAAAGAAATCTTAGTTATCTAATTTTTATCTTTTTTCCCTCTTTTCTTCCTCTTGCTCCTTTTTATATAGTCTGCACATACTAAATCGAAGTATGTATAAGCAGAGAGTTCCTATATTCTGTGCAATAGAGTAATAAGGGAGAAGACAAAACTTTCTGATTAATAAGCACAGGTCCTTCCAGCATTCTGATAACATCCATCAAGACTATTTTTTCCTACCATAAAGATGTAGGTATTGCCCATTTCTCTGTCTCATTTTCCTTGCTTTGTGGAATTCAGTCTTCCAGAGGGTCCCCAGCTACTTCTTCACTTCCACAAGAAGGTCTCCAACAACTGTGGAAGTACTTAGGCATTGTCTACAGGTTCCCTACATAGTTGATCTTTGCTATATCGAAAACGCAACCTTTTCCCTCTTTTCCTTTTCAATAATGTTATCCACAAGAAGCCAAAGAGCTCTCAACTGTCCACTGCAACTTCCTTTTTGTAAATGCTACATGTTACTGACAATACCCTAAAATAATTCACATTCAGGGACATTAGGCTGACTTTCTCTGCTTTACAAGAGGTGACTTTCTTCCCCTTCCACTATATTCCTTGGTACCATAACCTGTCAAGGTGGGTCCTGAAGAACATGATATTGGTATACCTAAATCTCTCTTAGTTAGGCTGCTCCTAGTTTCCCAACCAGGAGAAACTGTATGAAGTAAAACATGGGCATTTTTTAAACTGCTATGGTTTTGGTAAGTTGTTAAACAATACAATAGTAATACACTTCTCATTATCTTTAATATTGCCTTTCATTTCCCCTTATGCCATCATAATTTATTAATCTGTTTAATTTGCTTGTATTATATTTGTGAAATTAGAGACTTTTTTGTTTGGATTGCCTTTGTATCTGCAGTCTGGAAGAGTGCTTGAAATGTAACAGTCAGTAAAAATGAACAAGCAATGAGAGTCTAAAATTTTTATGTAAAAGGTAAACATGTCATTTAAGATCAGTAAACAAGGGTCTACTTTTATGCCATTTGTGCTTCTGACAGACATCTTTGTGGAATGTCTGCTCCATTAACTATGATCATCTTACCCATGTTAGCAGAGGGCCAATACAACCACTAGCACTTGTCACTGATGATTGGACAATTGCTGTACCTCAGACCTACACTAGACCAATGAGATATTCTCTTCTGGATATTTAGAATAAAAATTGAAAGAATGATAAAAAAGAACCAGTGTGTGGCTTTCCCTCTGCAACAATCTGGTCAGATTCTATTGTACTATAGTTGCGAACAATCTTGAGAACTTTAAACAAAAAAGGTTACTTCTTTTTCATAACATGTCGTCACATACTGAATATATTCTGGGCAGAAATAGCTACTCAAGGACACAGGCTGTTGGCACAGACACTATCTTAAATGTTGCCATCACCCCATCAAATGAATATGTGAAGTGTCAGAGGACTCAACACAAAAATCAACTGCTCAGCCTAGAAGTTACCCACCATTTCTCTTCATACCTCATTGGCCAGAACTTCTCCTATCTTGTCACTCCTCCCTTAACTTCAAACACCCAACTATAAAACAAGATCAATCTTACCATGTGTCTAGAAACTATCTGAATAGCATTAATAACTCCATCAATGCAATAATTGCAGAACTATATTCTGTCATGAGGCCTGGGAATCAAAGAATGATGAAACAGATGCCCAGAGAAAATTTAAGTCAAGAGATGGAGAGAAAATTTTTCCTCAGCTCCCAACAGTTTTTCAGATCCCATTTCCATACTGTAATGAGGTATGGAGGAATTCCTGCCCTTGGAGTCGGAGATCAACAGTTCCAAGTGTAGTCATTTAAACACAGACTTACAGCATGCCTGCCATATATCACATTCTATCTAGACCTAGAAAATACAAAGTGAAAGAACAAAAAGGTACATGTTTTCCAGGATCTCACAGTCCAGTGAAGGAGACAGACAAATAAGTATCTTAACAGAAAAATGTAAACGATAATACATAAGTATAAAGGAGGAAACCTTACCATACCTGGTGGCATCAGGAACCACCGTTTGAAAATGAATCTTGAATCATGTGTTAGAGTAAATTAGTGGAGAAGGGCACACTGGGGAGGGAAGGGCAAACAGCAATCCAGGCAGAGGAAACAGTGTGTGCAAAAGTATAACAACTTTACTATAAAGAACATGGACATTCCAAAAATTACAAGGAAAGAGAGAAGATGGGGAGAAGTGGCTGCAAGTAGTTTAGGTGTTTGAACCACAATAGAGGTAATGATATGTTATTCAAGAGTAATGCTTGTGTGTGACTGTGTTATGTAACGTAAGAGAGTCTGGCTCTGCCAAATGATCTTGAAGAATTACTTAATTTCTCAACACCTCTTTTTGCACTATGGGTAAACATGAATAATACTGAATTGCCATAGGGTCTGGAAAGATTTTTTTGTTTAAGACTGAACCTCTGTGGTTAATTCTGCCACAGGCTTAATGAAATCAGAGACATAAATCACCCAAAGCGATGTATCACAAATACATACGCAAGGATAAAAAAAATGCTCATACAAATGAGCCATGTTCACGAGAATTTGGTACACATATTGAACCAAGTATTAGTAACAAGGGACACCACCTTGGACATATCATGTAATGTCATTATAATGTAATCAATAATTTATTTTAAGTATTTGCTTTACTTCCAGACCCTATGTCACTTGTTAATACTAACCTCATAGGAATGCTCTGAGGATTTAAAAAATGAGCTAATTCATGAAAAGCTCTTAGCACAAGGAGTGGGGTTTTTTTTCCCCTGAACTCATTAAATATTACCTCTGAGTGTGAGGAAGAGTTACCAGTCTACTTTCAACAGTTGATTGGATGGTAGTGTGGACCACTGAGATGTTTAATTTAAAAGGAGCAAAGGTCCTTTTCTAGGTGTGAGAATCATTGATGACTCGCTAGTCTACTTCTCTGCTTCTTCCCTGGCTACAAGACTGTCATATTCACAACAGCGCATATTTGGTCAGACATATGCTGATCACCTGATGAGTAGCAGGTGCTGGGCATACAAGTCACACAGACATAACCTCTGTCTTCATGGAGTTTGGAGGTGGTTAGTTCAAAGTATCTTTGGAATAGTAGACAACCCTAAAGTGTAGCGCATCTGAGGCTGGCCACACTAATATACAAGGTCCGCTGAGAATCAACTTTGCTGTGTTCGTGAAGGGAAGAGATGCAACCAGTGATGCAGGAAGCGAGAAATGGACAGAGGAAGCAAAAGGGGAGAAATAGAGAAAAAATGAGAGAGAAAGGAAGGCAGGAGTATATCAAGGATGAGAGGCAACAGGAGGCAGATAAAATTCAAACGAAAGAGAAAAGGACACAGCTCCCACTCCACGTAGTTTAGCAGCATCTTAACACCCGGCTCCACGCCAGGAACAGCAACATCCCACCGCCCGGCACGCAGCGCGCCGTAAACGCGTAAGCGCCCCGAGAGCGGAGCGCGGCGCAATGCAGTGCCGTCATAAGGCGGAACTTCCGGTCCAAGCACGCCTCCCCAGGAACTTCAGCGGGGACCTTGTGGGCAGACAGGTGAGGTGCAGCTCTCCAGGCTTCGCTGACTTTCAGGAAATCAGGCGGGCTGGCTCGGGGCCCTGTTCTCCCTGCAGCTCCTCACAGAGGCCTCGCGGCCCTTGGCCGGACCTTCCACTGAGCCGGAATTAACGGTGCTGAGACACCTCTGCGGTCATGAGCTTCCTGGAGCGGGAGGCCCCGGGGCTGCCGGCTTATCGCGGCTCCCCTGAGCTAGAGGACGCACCTTTTGGACTGCTAAATGCAGCCCACGGTGGGGAGTAGGGGCCTGGACGTTGGGCACCCGGCCCGCAGGACGCGGCCCGGAGGGATCAAAGTCAGGTCCAGGGTGTGATTTGCAGCGAGCATCTAGTGCGCACACCGCTTTCCGTTCACACTTAAGGCCCACTGTGTCCTCACCTCGGGGAGTTTTTCCCCACCCAAGACAGCGTGGAGATCGGGACCCTTTGTTCCTTGATTCATTAATTCATTTGTTGCTCACAAGTAGTTACTGGACATCTGTTTTGTGTCTTGTCTGCCAGTTCTGGAGAGTTTATAATATCCCTTCTGAAGTTCTAAGGTCACATTCCTATCAGAAAAGAGAAATATATAACAAAAGAAGCAGAATTTAGAACAAGCTCCAGTCTTTGTGGAAAAGGTTTACTTTCAACTTCTTTCTGAAACTATGAGTAAGAATATCTGAGTTGTCTGTTAGGTGTTTTCCATTTTTTTTACCTAAAAGTGAAAGGCTTGAAGACCCTGAAGCCTGGCTTCCCAGCATGTAGGATGTTAGGGGACGATAAAGGCAACACAGCAGGTGGTTTTCTGAAATTTTACATTTTAATATCTTGTATTTTTACAACTAAGGCTTTTAGATTAGGTGATTTTCTTCCCATAAAAAGATCCATAACCTCTCAGCAATTCCTTACTTGTAAAATTACTATAATATACTTAGGATCAAGCACTTAATTTTGAAGTCTACTTTATACTTTGAGCGAAGGGAAATTAATATACTGCTTTAATGAGTATTTAACATGCAAGTCCAGTAGTCTTCAAACTTTTGAAATTCTTGTCCTTGATGTCAAGAGGCTGAAAGCTGTTTTCTGGCACATTAAAAAAAAAAAAAAGTGCTTACAAATTTGATGTAATAATTGGTGAATTAGAAGCAATAAAAGAATTATGGAAAACATCTTTTAAAGTCAAGATAATTTAGCAAATCCATCCTGAGTGTAATGTATGCCTTAGTTTTTTTATTTCCTCAACAGTAGTAATGGATTTTATATTCATCATCTAAGTTTGGTTTTCTGACCCACTTGTACAGATTTGACAACTCTCATGCAGCACATATTCAAATAGCAAAATTAGAGAAAGTTGAAAAGGTATAAGAAAAAAAAGTGAATGTAAAAGGTGTAAGAGGAAAAAATGTTGCAAAATTGCTGTTCATATATCCACTTATCTAGCAGAGGCTTAGAACACCAGATAGAATCTTGGTCTAACACATATCATACTTATTCTCTCTTGGACTTTCCCCTACAACATTATGTAATTTGTTCTTTGATCTTAAATAGTACATAAAATTTTTGACATAATATGTAGCTGGAAAAATAGTGTAATAGGAGTCCAAAGACTATAAAATTGATTTTGCCATTAAACGACCTTGAAAAAACTTGACCTTCAATTTCTCACTATGTTGATTACACTCTCTACTTTGTAGGCTTTGTTTAAATGAGAAAGGATTTGAATGTACTTTGCAAATGAAAAGAACTACAAAAAAAAGTGGTTTGTTGCAAGTGGGGGAAATTATTTGTAAATCAGGATATAGAAAACAGTTACTTCCATTAACAGGTTATTTTGGAGTAAGATGGAGTAGATACAAATAGTTACAGTGACCTTAAAGGTATTCTGTTTATGTATTTATATTATATGTTGACTTGCAACTGTATGTTTTGAAGTTTATATGGAGCTGTGTGGTATTCCTGATTTTTCTTTGTCATACCACTTAAACAGTTTGCAATTAAATAAATGCATAATTAAGTTTTGTGGTTTTAATTTTTTGTTTTGAATAATTATTATAGATTTTATAGAGGTGCAAAAAAACTGTACAAGAAAGTCCCCATCCCTTCTCAGCCAAGCTTCCCCAATGGTAACATTTTGAATGACAACAAAACAATATTAAACCAGGTAATTGAGATTGACATTGGTGTAATATACAGTTAATTGAAATTTCACCAATTTTATAAGCACTCATTTGTGTGTGTACACAGTTCTATGCAATTTTATCACACATGTAGCTTTTATAATAATTATAATAATAAAGCAAGATACAGAATTATTTCATTAGCACAAGACTTTATATCTGCTGCTTTATAGAACCATCTAGTCCTACTCCAATCTCTCCATCTCTAAAAAAAATATCATTTCAAGAAAGTTGCATAAATGGAATCATAAGTACTTGACTTTTTAAAACTGGCTTTTGGCTTTTGTTTTTTTCTTTAACTCAATATAATTGCTTTCCATTCCATCCAAGTTATTTGTATCAATCATTTTTGTTGTTGTTGTTGCTGAGTAGTATTTAGGGATCCTACACTGAGTTTAACCATTCACTCATTGAAAGACAATTGGGTTGTATGCATTTTTGGACTATGATGATTTGAGATGCCATGGACCTTTGTTTGAAGGTTTTTGAATCAACATAAAGTTTTTATTTCTCTGGGATAAAAGCCCAAGAGTAAAATGCTGGGTCACATGGTAAGTGTGCAGTTAGTCAATTGATATGACTTTAGCTTATTGATATGATGAGTTACATTCATTGATTTTTTTTTTCTAATTGGTTATTTATCACAGCAGAATGCATTTCTTTTCATTGTACACAAATGGAGCACAACTTTTCATTTCTCTGGTTGTACACAATGCAGAGTCCCACCATTTGTGCAATCACACATGTACCCAGGGTAATGGTGTCTATCTCATTCCACCATCTTACCTACTACCCCTGTGCCCCCTCTCCCCCCTTCCCCAAATTCCTTTATTTTTCCCATGCCCCTCCCACATAGATCAGCATCCACTTATCAGAGAGAACATTAGCCTTTGGTTTTTTTTGGATTGACTTACATCGCTTAGCATGACATTCTCCAATTCCATCCATTTACCTGTAAATGCCATAATTTTATTCTCTTTTAATGCTGAGTAATATTCCATTGTGTATATATACCACAGTTTCTTTATCCATTCATCTTTTGAAATGGATCTAGGTTGGATTCCACAGCTTAGCTATTGTGACATTCATTGATTCCTGAATGTTGAACATTCTTGGAGTAAATTTCACTTGATTGTGGTATAATATTTGTTTTATATGTTGCTGGGTTCTGTTTACTAATATTTTGTAAGAGAGGTATTGGTGGTTTTGTTTGTTTAGTTTGTTTTTGTCCTGTCCTTGTCTGGTTTTGGTATCAGTAATGGTATTGCAGGGTCTTCAGCAGTAACCTGTTTCATTCTTGATTTTAGCAACTTGTGTTTTCATGTGTTTTTCCTTGACAGTTTATCAATTTCATTCATTTTTTAAAATTTGTTTTAATTAGTTATACATGACAGTAGAATGCATTTTGACACATCATACCTAAATGGAGTATAACTTCTCATTTTTCTGGTTGCACATGATATAGAATCACACTGGTTGTGTAGTCATATATGCACATAGGGTAATAATGTCCAATTCTTTCTATTGTCCTTCCTAATATATCCCCGACCTCTCTTCACTCCCCTCTACCTAATCCAAAGTACTTTTATTCTTCCCTAGCACTCCCCATTGTGAATTAGTATCCACATACCAGAAAAAACATTCAGCCTTTGGTTTGGGTGAATTGGGTTATTTCACTTAGCATGATATTCTCCAGTCCCATCCATTTACCAGCAAATGCCATAATTTCATTCTTCTTTAAGGCTGAGTAATACTTCATTTTGTATATATACCACATTTTATCCATTCATCTGTTGAAGGGCACCTAGATTGGTTCTATAGTTCAGCTATTGTGAGTTGAGCTGCTATAAACATTTATGTGGCTGTGTCACTCCTCAAATAGAGCATTTATCTCCAGGATATATAAACAACTCAAAAAACTTAACACCAAAAAAAGCAATCAAATAATCCAATCAACAAATGGGCTATGAAACTGGACACCTCACAGAAGAAATATAATCAATCAACAAATACAGAAAAAATGTTCAAGATCTCTAGTAATTAGAGATATTCAAGGAAATTGTAAAGCTTTCTGTGTAAATCTTATAATTCTTTTGTTAGATTTGTTTGTAAGTATTGGATTTTTTTCATGTAGTTATAAGTGGTATCTTTTCAAAAAAAAGTTTCACTTTCTAGTTGCTCATTGCTAGTATATAGAAATGTATTTGGTTTTTAGTAATTTTTTTAATCTAAAGACCATGTTGCATCCACTTGTTCATTCAAATAGTGTATATTTATTCTTTTGGATTTTCTCTTATGTAATCATGTTGTGAAGAATGACATTTTCTTCCTATCCAATTCACATACCCTTATTTCTTTTTCATGTCTGGTTGCATTGGCTTAAGACCTCAAATTTAGAGTTAGAAGTGTTGGTAGCAGACCTCTGTTTCTTGACCCCAAACTCAGAAAGGCATTCAGTATTTCACTTTTAATGATATGTTTGCTATAAGTTTTATATATACTTTATATTTACAAATGTATTTTATATTTATATTTTATAAAAGAAGATATGTTTCTTTTTTAAGAGTGACTATTGGGATTCATGATATTGGGTTTTTATCAAATATACTTCTGTGCAGATTGAGGTGATTATGTGCTTTCTCTCCTTTATTCAATTAATATAGTCAATTAAAATGATTAACTTTTTAATATTTAAACAACATTTTGTTTCTGATATATACACAATTTGGCTGTCATGTATTTTATATATTACTAGGTTTGATATGCTAATATTCTGAGTAGAGTTTTTGCATTTATACCCATGAGGGACATTGGCCTATAATTTTCTTTTCTTATATTATCCTTGTTAGGTATTGATATCAAAGTTTGCTGGATTCATAAAATGAATTGAGAAGCAGTTCTTTTTCTATTCTCTGGACATACAAGATTGGTGTTATTTTTTCATTGAAGTATTGATTCTTTCATTTTATCAAGAATTATGAATTCTGTGTTTTGAATAGACATACATCTATTAAGATTCTTCTAGTCTTTTGGTATCTGTTTTTCTTAGAAGTTTTCCATGCTAAATTTAATGGCATAAGTTCTTTAAAATATTCCTTTTGGAAGGAGGGGAATGGTGCTAGGGATTGAACCCAGATCCTTGTACATTCTGTGCCACTAAACTACATCCCCAAGCTCATATTATTTTATCATCTTTTTGAATCTGGAGAGATGTCCTTTTTTCACCTGTAACATTGATTATTTGGGCTTTCTTTTTCCTTGATAAGTCTCTTCACGGGCTTACTTATTTATAGGTCTTTCCAAAGAACAGAATTTTGGGTTCAGTAGTGCTTTCTAATATAAACCTTTGTCCCTGGCTTATTGATTTCTACTCTTCATCATTATCTTTTTTCTACTTTATTTACTTGAATTTGTCTGCTTTTTCATATTCCTTTACCTAGATCCTTGATTTCCATCTTTTTTCCTAATAGGTATATATCTCAAGACTAAATTTTTCTGTACTTGTGCTTTTATTTGTATTTTGCATGACTTGATAGGTCATAATCTTTGTTCTGTCTCATTTCTCTGTTATCCTCTTAGTTTTATATTAATTGCATTTTCTGTTTCCCTTTTTATACACTTGTTATATGTTCTTACACAATTCTTATAGTGGTTACTGACTTTTTGAACAAATTTTAAAAAATATTTCCTCTGGCTTTTCTAATTGTCCTCTATGGAGATTATTTGGAAGCAAGCTAGTCTGCCTCTGCCTTTGCTAATGCAGATTCAAACTTAATTTTAATTTATATTTTAAACAAAAAAAGTACCTCTAATTAAAAACAACTCTCAGACTCACCTCTGTTATTTGTATACTCAACATTGAATGAATATAACTAACATATTGATATTAGCTATTAGGCCACCACTAAAAAAAAAAAAAAAAAACTTGAAATAGAGCCATTGACTTTTTGTTTATTTTCTTATATTGTTTTTTGATGAGTTAGCAATTTGAGGAGTTAGAAGCTCTTATCCACTTATGTAATAAATAATACAAGTTATTATTATTATTAAGCATTGGAAGAAAACTATCTTACTAAGTTAAATGTAATTTAATTGAAGACTATCTGGAAATAGCAACACGAGTTTTTTGGTTTTTGTTTTTAATTAGCATTGGCAATTCTAGTACCTAAAGCAATTCTAGTACCTAAAATAAAATGTAGGCATTATTTGCATATGTATGCTGAAGCCTGATCAAATATATTTACAACTCCGCTTATTTTTTATAAACTTTTTAGAGAGAGAGAGAGAAAATTCTAATATTCATTTTTTAGTTATTAATGAAGGAATAACTAAAAAGTAGTTTTTTAGTTATTCTTTGTTTGTATATGGTGCTAAGGATCGAACCCGGGCCACACGCATGCCAGGCGAGCGCGCTACCGCTTAAGCCACATCCCCAGCCCCATACTCCACTTATTTTTGTTCATTAGTTAAGTTGTAAGGTTATTGTCTAGCTACAGTATAAAGACTTGTTATTATAAATATTTACATTATAAATACTATAATAACAAATTTTATAGATTTGAATCTCTTTTTTAAGTTTTATACCCATTTGATACTGGTTTTCTCTGTTAAATATTGTCTAGATTTGCATACAATTTAGTTGGAAAAAAATTCTCTTACCACGTAAAGTTAGAAACCCATTGGTTTCTAACATTGTTATATGTTCTACATATCTACAAATGAACACCTGCATTTAAGAAAACAGGTCTGCCTAGATTGCACAAGTTATGTTCACACTTGATTTTTCACCCTACCTAGATCTTGATGCTTATCAGATTTATTTCCTTCAAGATCATTTATAGACTGAGGCTGAAGGTGGAACCATCACCCTTTTTCAATATATAATTGTAACACATTTTTCTTTGTTAATCTGACACTTGCTTGCAGAACTGAATTACTTTGGATTCTTAGGTAAGCAAGAATTCAAACTCTCATATTTTTTTTAGTTTTCATTTTCTTCTTATACATAGCTGCATGGGAATCAGAAATATAAGAGTGAAGGAAAGTAAAAGATTCTTTAGAAATACATGTAAATTCATGCTTCTCTGTTCTATTTTATTTGAAATGTTTTAGAATTGCAACTGCTTGTTTTCCAATTTTTATATACTATACTTAAATTTCATATCTACTTGGATTTTCATTAGTTTGGTGGCTAATCAAACTCCCAAGATGTCATAGTCTCAAATATTTATAAGTTGAGTGTATTTTTAATAACTCAGAATTCTCCTCTGGTGAAAGTGTGGCGTGTGTCTTCACAGTCAGTTCTAATTTAATACTTTGTTTCACAGCTCCATCTAATATTGTTTCTAATACATGGTAAATGTCAGAAGACCTTTATAGAAACACTCTGTTTAAGATAGTTTTGGAGACTGAGCTACAGTGACATTTATTAGTGAATTAAAAGTCAATTCATCCCAAAAGTTGAATGATAGTTTTGTTTATTTAATCAATATATTTTGAATAAAGAGTGGTCCCCACTTTTTAAGTAAGGATTTTTCATTTTTCTTAGTATTGTTATTTAAGAAAAAAAGAGTGTATGACTTCTTGTTAAACATGGAGATTAGAATGTATATTATTTCTTCCTACTCCCTAAATTCCCTAAGCTGACAGTAAAAATAGTAAAGGCATAAACAAAGAGAATAGCAGTGACAACAGAACATCAAACTGGAGAAATGAAATCTTAAAAATGTTAGAAAGTAAATGGATAAATTATAAGCAACTTCATAGCAGTCTTGATGGAATGTAACATTTGGTCATAATATTGAACTACAGCTTGTTTAATCATTCCCAAAATTGAGTCGATAGAATTTTTAGTATCGGCAAAATGGATTATCATAATTCACTTATCCATTCCTTCATTAATGACTATATAGGATCTTCAGCTTTTCACCATAATAAATAGCATTCCATGCATTAGGTTTTTTTAAATTTTTTTAATTGTTGATAGATCCTTATTTTATTTATTTGTTTGTATGTGGTTCTGAGGACCAAACCAGTGCCTCACACATGCCAGGCAAGTGCACTAACCACTGAGCCACAGCCACAGTCCCCCATGCATTAGTTTTAAAAAGTATTTTTGATATTTTTTTAGAATCAGTTCCTCAAAATGACTAAATTGAAGTATATGCCTTTAATGGGTATAGACTAGTGCTGCTAGATTGCTTCCCAAAGGCTGTTTTCATTATTACCATCTATGTGTGTTTTATCTTTCATTCCTAGAATCGAGAGTAGCTCTTGGATGTGCCACATGGTGGCACTTACCTACAATACCATAGACTCAAGAAGCTAAGGCAGAAGGATCACAAGTTTGAGGCCAGCTTCAATTTAATGAGATCCTATTTCAAAAAATTTAAAAGGCAGCAGGGATTGGGGATATAGTTCAGTGATAGAGCACACCCCTGGGTTCAGTTCCCAGTATATCACCCCCAGAAGAATAGCTGGCTAGTCTTCTATATACACTGTAGCATTCTTTCTTGGTATTTTGAAAATTGTCTTTTTAATTCTTCAGTTAATTATTTTTGGCTCAAAGTTTTACATTTTGCTGCTTTTCTCCCTTTATTTAGAAATGGACTCAGAAATCAAGGAAGAAATCCCTGTACATGAGGAATTTGTTCTGTGTGGTGGAGTTGAAACACAGGTTCTAAAATGTGGTCCCTGGGATGACCTCTTTAATGATCAAAATGTCAACAGACCTAAACTGCTTATTTTCATTATTCCTGGTAAGTAGAAAAATCTGGATAAGAAGACTTTATACAGATAGCCATCACTATTTCTCTTTTCTTTTTTTTTAATCACTTGGCTTGAAAATGAACAGTATTTAGAAGAAAAAAATCAACTATAAATTTAATAGCATATACATTAAAAATGCAGAAGATTAACATAGAATTTTCATAATTAATTAACTACCTGAGTCACGTCTTTTTTCCCTGTATACTTTTTGGCCTGCATATTTTTTGCTCTCCTCTCCATATTACAATTAAAAAAAATAGATTTATATTCTCATCTTTCCTCTAGCATCTGTGGCCAACATTTGTTTTTTGTTATCAGTTTAAAAATAGTTTAATTAATAATCAGCTTTATAACTCTTGGTAATGTCATGCAAAGTTTTAGTATTGTTGATAAAATTGAAAAAATCTCTATCAATTTTCTTTTACACATAACTTGAAAATTTTAAGGCAATTCAAGTTTTCTTGTTTTTGACAACTGAAATGTTCTTTGAGCTGACATCCCTCATCCACCAGGTGAGTCATTACTGTCCTCACTATAGTGACGTGTTATGAGTTTGACATTAACAGTGTCAGGTTTTAGTGTCACATAAACAAAAAAAAATTATCTTATTTTGATGTGCTCCTGTGATTCACTTCTCATTATCAACTGGTTGTCAAGTCATTCGAGAAACTATTTATTATCTTTAAAAATATGTATTAGAGTCCTCATAATATTGTTAAAACCAAGTTGCATAGATCGAACAGATTTGTAATGGCATTTTTCTATAATTAAACTCTTTAAAGAAAAGCTCAGTTAATAAGGATGTTTAAAATACTATATCAGTGAACCTGGAAAAAAACCTCACATATAACTTTTGCAAATATCAGAACAGTTACCAATACCAAGTCTTATGCAGGCAGTTTTTGCATCTGTGATATTTGTGTCATCAAGCCCAGTAAGTTGGGAGAGTGGGTAGGAAGAATGTTCCTGGAGGCCATTTCTATGCTAGACTAGCTAGTGGTAACTCACCTTTAGAGGGAAGTGGTTGTATATCCTATAAAATGAAAATGAATCTAAACTTTAACCCACTGCCAGCCAGATCCTGAAAAGCAGATGAAGAACTTTTAATTTAGTTTCATCTTTTCTAGTGAACCTTAGATCTAGAATTTCTGTTAAACAACAATGTATTTGGACTTATTTTAAATAGTTGAACTGAGCAAAAGAGGCAATTTGATAACTCACTGTAGAACATACTAAATCATTTAATTTTCAGTTGGTAATATAGAATCAAATGAAGTGTCTTGTGCTATGAATCCAATAATTAGAGATCTAGCAGACAAGGCTCTGTGGAAGAGCCCAAAGTTTACACATGATAACCTTCTATATAAATGGTGAGTCATGCTAACTTGATATATGACAGTTTTGTCCCCTGTAAAGTTAACTGGAAGGCATAGTCTATAAGTACAGTGCTTAAATGGAATTCATTGACTGTCAGGGTCTAAATATTATAATCATAGTCTCTGTTGTACTTTGCTTGAGCATTTTACTATTATGTGTTCTTTGGGTGTGTGTTTATAGCACATTTTGATACAAACATTTGATTTAAAAAGTATTTACTTGCCTTTTTGTACTGGAATGTTTTTCAACATTCCTATTTCTAGAGATCTGAGAGAGAAAGAGAGAGACAGGGGGTAGGGGATGGAGAAGGGGTGTATAGCTCTTGTTTAGTTGCATAAGCAAAGCCCATGTAATTTTCTTTGTGGTTTCTTAACCAGGAAGTTTAGTTCATGGTTTGTAAAGTATGACATAAGTCATAACATTTAAATGGTGAAGTATGAAGCATGCAATCATATTTAAACATCTTATATTGTGTGTTCCATTTCTGTCTCTGCTATAAATTGGATCATCATGTTATTGGTCATGTTTTCATTTTGAAAAAACTTACTGTAAATGATTGTCATGTGTCCAGCCCAGTGCTGCTAGGTACACTGGATACAGAGAATTACAACAAGCCATGGCTACTTTTTTAAAACTTAAACTTTTAGGTTTGAGTAAGAAGACTTACCCAGTGAGAAATAAATTTTAAAATGAGATAATTTATTTCTTTCTACTTACAATGCAGACATACAGGAAGTAATAGAGTTAGGGGCTATAATATGAAGTTGATAATCTGATGGAGTTTTTAGCGGAGGCCAAGGGAGAACAAGAGCTAACACACCTTCATTAGGAATTTCGCATTGCATTCCCCAAGGCCTTCAAGGGAATAGATGTTATATATTCCACACTTGTAAAAGGAAATAATGGAACTGGAGAAATACCCATACTTTTGGATAACTCTTCCCTTTTACTTGTGCCTAGCTTCAGTTTCAACTACACACTGATTATTCCCTACTCTGCATATATATTTTAATTAACAAAATTTACATATCTGTATATATTTATGATATACACAATATTTTGATACATGTACACATTGCAAAATGGCTAAACCAAGGTAATTAATATATGAGTTACTTCACATACTTTTTTTGTGCTGAGAATACTTGAAATCTCCTAGTAATTTTCAAGGTTACATTGTTATCAATTGTAGTTACTGTGATGTATGATCCTTTCAACTTATTTGCCTGTCTAACTGAACTTTTGTGTTCTTGGCCAGCATCTCCCCAACTCTTTTACTTCCCACCCTGGTAACCAGCATTCTGTTCTCTGCTTCTGTGAGTTTGACTTTTTTAAATCCTGTATATAAGTGAGATTATGAAGTATTTGTCTTTATGTGCCTGGCTTATTTAATTTACTATAATGTCCTCTTGTTTACCATGTTGTAACAAATGGCAGTATTTCTTCCTTTTTTGAAGGCTGAGTAGTATTCAATTGTGAATATATACCACATTTTCTTTATCCAGTCTTCATTTGATGGACACTGAAGTTGTTTCCATGTCTTGGGAATAGTGCTGCAATTAACATAGGAGAACAAATGTCTCTTCAAGATACAGGTTTTGTTTCCATCCTAGAAGTGGAGGTTGGGTCTTAGCTAGTTCTATTTTTAGTTTTTGGAGGAACCTCCATTCTTCATAATGCTTATACTAATTTACATTCCCATTAATGTGTGCAAAGTTTCTCTTTTCTCTATATCCTCACCAGAACTTGTCTTTTTGCTAATAGCTCTTCTAGCAGATGTAAGGAGATATCTCATTTTGGTTATAATTTGCATTTATCTGATAGGTGATGATGTTGAACATTTTCTTAAATACCTGTTAGTTGTATGAGTTTCTTCAGTATTTTGGGTATTAACTCCTTGTCAGATGGATCTTATTCATTTCAGAGTTATATCCATACAGTTAAAAAAAAAAAGAGAAAAAACACTTAATGTACTGATGTGGAACAATTTTAATTTATAGCAAAAGAAAAAAAGCAAGGATCAGAACTGTGTGCATCACTGTCATTTGTACATAAAATGTGAAAAGGTAATACATGAAATATCTGAAAGGATACACAAGAAAGGGGAAACTTTGAAGCTGAATAACTGGTGCCTGCTAAAGGCAGGAGCCTGGATTTCCATGCTTGCACCACACCCACCACTTCTGCCCCTGACTCATTTAGTATCATTCAACAAATATCAAATTTTTAAATTAACTGCCTGCCACACCTCTATGAAATGTTTTCTTTGTTTATTGGCCATCATGTTTTCATATGATAGTGATTTAACAAAAATAGTTCTGATTGTTAGCATGATTGAGTTTTTAATGTTGATGCATGGATTATATAAAATATGCAACATCACACATAGATGTATTTCTGGTGCTCTGCTGCAATTGATTAACTTACAGATCAGGAATTCTTCATTTTATTTCATGAAGTTCCCTTCATTGTATGGCACATTTATAATTATACATGCCTCATTGTTAAGTATATTCATGAAGAAATAACTGCAATTTTCCTGGATATATTAAAAGGATCCTATTATGGTTTTCCTTTCAGTTAGTAAGTGTGCATAATATTAATTAATTTTTCAGTACAAAACCAATTATATTTTCCTGTGAAAAACTCTACTGTGTCATGATGTATTTTTTTAATTTTATGATTTTATTATAATAATTCACACATTAATTCACTGTAATTAATTTCCATACATTATGTATTTTTTTACATTTTGATGGACTCAGTTTAGTAAAATTTTCCTAGGGTTTTTCTAGCTATCTTCATGGGGCCATTGGTATATATTTTTCTTCTTCTTCTCTCTCTTTTTTTTTTTTTTTTGTAATGTCTTTGCCTGGTTTTGGTATGAAAGTGATGTTGTCCTGATACAAAGAACTGGAAAAGTTCCTTCCTTGTCCATTTTCTGGGAGAGTTTTATAGATTTGGTATTATTTCTTCCTTAAGTATTTGATAGAATTCACCAGTGAATCCATACAGACCTAGATTTTCTTTGTGGGAAAATTATTAACTAAAATTTTAATTTCTTTGATAATAGGACTATTCCGTTTCTTTTTGAGTGAGCATGTTAGAGAGTTATCCACTTCATTCATCTGTTCTAAATTTATGCTGCAAAAATTTTCATAATATTTCCTAATTATTCTTTGGCTACAGAAAAATTTTTTTTTTCAAATTTTTGTTCACTTGTTTATTTATTTATTTTTTATATGTGGTGCTGAGGATCGAACCCAGGGTCTTGCACGTGCGAGGTGAGGGCTCTACCACTGAGCCACAACCCCAACCCCCAGAAAAATATTTTTAAATGTAAATCTGCTCATGCCTTAACCCTGCTATACTCACTCTTCCAGTATTACTTAGATTAAAAGTCAGATTACCATTGAACATAGTGACAAACCTGTGATCCCAGCACGTTGGAAGACTAAGGCAGAAGTATCACAAGTTTGAGGCCAGCCCAGGCAACTTATTGAGAACCTGTCTCAAAATTTGAAAAGGGCTTGCGATGTAGCTCAGTGGTATAGCCCCACTGAATGCAATCCATACATTAGATATAGAAAAGAAGAACCAAGAATTGGACTCTCTTCTGTTGCTTTAGGAGCCATGTACTTTCTTTTCTTTTCTTTTCTTTTCTTTTTTTTTTCATGTTCTTTATTTCTTGAGAGCCTTTGCTTAGTGTTGTCTTTCCTCAGATTATCTGTCTTGTGCCTTGCTTGGTGGTTTTCATATGGTAAATGCTCAAAAAATAATTGATGGCCTAAAGAAAATGCAAGAGAAGCTATAATGCCAAATAGAGTGAATGAGCATGTAGTCATAGGCATCATCATTTACTTGATGATGATGAAATAATGGCTCAGAACATTAAGGGGGTTTTCTTAAGTCCTTATGGTTAGTAAGGGAAAAAAACTCAAACTTATTCCCAGAGAGGAAGAAAAATTTATTTCATAGCTGTTCTATTATCTAGTACTCATTGGTTTTTATATATCCTGACATTGTAGATGTTGCATCTAAATTATGTAGTTGTTATCTTTACTATCTTCTTAATGTTAAATCAGTTTTTAACTTTAATAATAATAATAGATACAATTTATTGAGCTCTTACTGTGTGCCACATATTGGTATAAGTGGTTGTTTATTCACTATCTCTGATGCCACCTACTTTATAGAGCTATTATAAGACTAATTAAAACTACATATATACAGAATATATATGTATTAGAATGCAACAAAAGCAAACTGACAGTATGGCTATACGTTGGTTTACAAATTTGAATTGCTAATATTTATGTAGCACATATTATGTTGCAGGCAATGTTGAATTAATTCATTTGGTTATTACACAAAGTAGTATGACTATTATCTCCATTTCATAGATGAAGAAATAGGACACAGAGAGGTTAAATAACTTGTCAAAGTTCACATAGTTCGTAAGTGGGGAAGCCAGGACTCCAAACCAGGCACTCTGGCTCCAGTCTTTGCTGGGGATAGAACTTGATTCCTGAGTTACATCCCCAGCATCTTTTTAAATTTTTGACATAGAGTCTCACTAAGTTGCTGAAGCTGGCCTCATAGTTGTGATCCTCCTGCTTCCATCCCCCAAATCACTAACACTGCCTATGAGGCCATTATAGGGGATTACAAGTGTGTGCCATGGTGCCCAGCTCCGTTTGGGGTTTTTTGTTTTGTTTTGTTTTGTTTTTTTGTCTGTTTGTTTGTTTTGTTTTGTTTTGTTTTGTTTATGGTGTTGAGGATTAAACCCAGGGTTTTGTGCATGCAAGGCAAGCACTCTACCAACTGAGGTATATCCCCAGCCCTTTTTAAAAAAAAAAAAAATTTTTTGGCTGTAGATGAACATAATAGCTTTATTTTATTTGTTTATTTTTTTAAGTGGTGCCAGGGATCAAACCCAGTGCCTCATGCATGCTAGGCAAGTGCTTTACCACTGAGCCATAACCCCGCCCCCACCCCCCAGCTCCTTATTTTGAGATAGGTTCTTACTATATTGCCCAGGTTAGTCAAGAACTCCTGGACTCTAGTGATCCTCCAACCTTAGCCTTCCACAAGCATGCTCTACTACACCTGGCTTAGAATCTGTGCACCTTGCTGTGCTGCCTAACCAGGAAACTGAAAGATATGAACCCTTGAGAAAAAAATCAGTGAAGTTTGTCTGTGTTTATTTATATCAGTGCACTCAAGTAAGGTGGAGAAAACCTAACAAGAAGAAATCAATAAATTGAATGGAGAAATAGATAGTGATAGCAATGGACTAGTAACTGTGAAGATGAACCAGACAATTGCAAGATGAAAACCCCATTTCACTGTCGTTTTCCAATGCACATGTGTTAGATTGAATCTTTTTAAAAAGATAATTTATTTATTCAATTTCTCTATATCAGAAGTATGTCAAAAATACTTTCTGAATACACACAAGAAAAATATGTATTAGTTTGTGTCCTTCAAAGATAATACATCAGTTTGCAGCATAAGTACTTGTGATAATGACAAGTCCACACTGAGTATTCCTTAATGTTCTCTTTGTGTGGGATAGTAACCTTGATTTGACTGGCCTGTTTGTTTAGTTTTCATGCAGCTTAATAAATGAGCCAGTCAAACCTTGAAGGGTCTTATAGACAGTGTTAGTGATTTCAGACTTTATCCAAATGACAGTGGGAAGCCACTCAACGGTGTTTAAAAAGGATGAGATTTGAAGATATATCTCTATGGTTTCCTGAAGAATGGATTCCAAGGGGACAAGAGCCGACAGACCTGTTAGGATGCTGTTGTAGGAAACCTGGGAAGTGATGATCACTAATGGAGAGAGATGGACAAATTTGAGATGCATTTTGGAAGCTAACTTGGCAGAACTTATTGGTAAGCTGGATGTGAAGGACAGGGAGAAACCAAGAATGACTCTCAGTGTTTGGGTTTAAGCACTTGGTTTGTGTTTAGTGATTCCAGTTAGTGTATTGAGGAATAGGGAGAATTTACTTGAAATAGTTGGAGAAAAAGCAGGAACAGAATTTTCTGAGTGGTTATTCCCAGACTTAAGGTAGAAAGGATATTAAAAATTAAAGTATAGGTATAAAATTGCAGGATTTGTAGAGCACAGTGTGAAGAGAAATTGACCTTTCCTTTCTAGTCTGCATCTTCTTACAGGAGTTTGATTAATCTAAGGTCTTTGTCTCTTTCCTAGGTAACCCGGGTTTTTCTTCTTTTTATGTGCCATTTGCAAAAGCTTTGTACTCTTTGACAAACAGATGCTTTCCAGTTTGGACTATCAGTCATGCTGGACATGCCTTGGCCCCCAAAGACACGAAGATTCTTACAACATCAGAAGGTATGTCCTTGTTAACATTTAGTTTCCTTTACAGTGAATGAGTATTCTTGTTTCTAGAAAGCCGCTAAGATTAAGAGTTTTACCAACGATTTCATCCCCTACATTTTGCGTCACTATATGTAACAGGTGACTTTGATGTGCCTTAATCAGATTACAAGTGTATGAGCAAAATAAATGTTGTTATTGTTTTATTAAATTACTATGTTGTGGGAATGGTTTTTTAATAACACAACAGATAACCAAGTCAGACCAAAAGATTTATTGATAAACTTCTGTATTTGTTTTTTTAGTTATATAATTAAGATTAATTTAACCTAACAGTCTTACAAAAGAGAGAACTGACTTTTAAAGTAATAAATAATTGCTACACCCCCCTCACCCAAAAAAAGTTTTACCAATGAGAACCCCTGTGTAAGCCACATTTTGGTAATTTTAGGATTTTTAGAGATACTTTAAATCTTATGCAGGAATTCTCTGTAAGAATTTGGGTAGATCAAATAGTCTACATATGACTTTCCTTCTTTTTTTTAATTCACTATATATTTATTGATCGCATATTTCCAAAGTTGTGATAGGAGGAGAAGTAGAGGAAAAATAAAAGGCATGGTCTCTAAAGAAGTGATCTCCCAGGCCAAGGAGTAAATATGATGTAGTAAATATGATTACATGCTGAACATTTTTGAACAGCTTCTAAAGCTTGGTTTATTAATCTATTGTTAGTTTGGGTAAGTGTTTCAGATCCTATAAACAGTATCAATTCATCTAGTTAAATATGGTTCTTAACTTTTTTATTTTATAGCCAAGTTTTAATGACTAACATTGTACAATTTATTTTCAAAATGGAAATTTTTAATCATATTTTTGTATTGAAAAGTTATATGTGCTTATTATTTATAAATTTAAGCAATTCAAAACTAAACAAGGAAGTAAAACAAATAGTTTTCTTTAATATAAAGGTTAGAAAAGAATGTTGTAGCTTTATAATTTTTTTTTTAATTATGTTAAATTTTCTCAACTTCAAATCAAACAAGCATTAGCAGCTTGGCAGAGAAATGAGATTTCCCAGTGCCTTTAACACTTTCTCTACAGTTGAGGAGTTTTTTCCAGGCTGAAATAAGTATCTTAAGAATTGTTTAATAAGTGAATTTTAATGCTTTCTTCCCTGTGACAATGTCATGATAAAGTGTATATCTTAAGCCTTAATAAAATGGTTACATTTTTATTCTGAGGGTATTTTTTCAAAATTTATTTACTTTGAATTACCTGTCCAAAAAATAAGTGGGCATATACTATGTACCAAGAAAACTTTCAGTGTCGAATGATTGTCTCGGACATGTAAAACTTAGAATTTGTCACTTTCATCCTCACAATAAGAGAAAAGCTTAAAAAAATGAAATCCAGTGATTTTTCTTAGATCTGGCAGAGAATTGAGGTCACAGGACAAATTCCCACCTAGAATTTGGAGAGAAGAGAATACCTGAAGTGGAGGATCAGAGAGCCATAATCTGATAGAATATGCAATAGTGATTTTGATGAATTATTGGAGGTGAACCTGAGAAACTCCCATAGGGCTCCTCTTGCGCACCCACCCACATTTTCCTGCGTGTTACCTCCAGAAACTCCATTAGATTATTTTTTTAATATTTGAGGAAGATTTCTGCAAAGTTTTGACCCATGGAGAAGAATTTTGCAGGATGCCCAGAGCATTCTCAACAACAAAGGCTTCCCTTTTGCCAGACCCTTATCTAACCTGAGGAAGGACACTTAGCCAGTGTTCCTGAGGAAGGCTTTCTCTATCCTGGAGGTGGGAGAAAAGGTGACAAGCTCTTTGGAAGATCACAGTACAGGTTTTCAGGCCCACTGAGACTTTAATTATAATTATAGGTTATAAGATACTTTTCTCTTCCATATTTTATCACTACGTCAACAGACCTCTGTTGAAAGAGAAATTTATAATGAAAGTGTATTGCAACTACAAAAGTCACAAGACACAGAGTTTGTTTAAGGAGGAGTTCTTAGGGAAAGCCAGTGATGACAAAGGATAGAAAACAGGAACTTGGAGGAAACTGAAGTCTCTGGCATCTACAAGTACAGTAAACATTAAATACAACCCAACTTCTAGCCATTAATTAATTAACAAAGCCTCACATAAAAAAAATCTTTTTAACTTAGTTCCTGATACCTAATACATCATGTCTGGTTTTAAACAACAACAACAAAAATTACAAGGCATTGTAAAAGTCAAGATAAACCAGTCTGACTAAATAAAGAAAGCATGGAGCTAAACTCAGGTCTGTGCTTATTACCAATTTTGAAATTATCACGAAATTTAAAATAACTACTGTTAATAGAGTATAGGACTCTAGTGGAAAGAATAGCATGTTAGAAAGAATGGCTAAAGCAAGCCAGGGTTGGAGACTCTTAAGAAATTTCCAAAAAAAAAATACTAAGAAATACTGCAATAAAGAACGAAAGATTTTACAAAGAGATCACCAGTAGACTAGATGTATCTGCGGAAAGAATAAGTGAGTCTGAAAATAGGTCAATAGAAACTTCCCAAGCTGAAATGTAAAGAAAAATTTTTTAATTGTACCTATCAATTGATATAGAAAACACATTTAAAAAAATACTTATTATTTTTAAAAAATCTCAGAAACTAGTTATAGAGGGAAACTTACTCAAATTGATAAAGAATATTTGTAAAAACTATCATATTTTAAAAATTCCAATTAGTTATACATGACAGTAGAATGCATTTTGACATATTGTACACAAATGGATAACATTATACTTTATGGTAAGAAACCAAAGGCTTCCTCCTAAGATCGGGAACAAGACAAGATGTCCCTTCCCACCACTCATATTCATCACTGGGTTGCAATTTAATGTTTACTGTACTTGTAGATGCCAGAGACTTCAGTTTCCTCTAAGTTCCTGTTTTCTATCCTTTGTCATCACTGGCTTTCCCTAGCTAATGTAGTAAGACAAAAAAGGGAATTAAAAGATAAGCAGATTGGGGAAAAAGAAATAAAACTTTGAATTTGCAGAAGATATGACTTTCTGTGTAGGAAATCCCTAAGAGTCCACAACAACAACAGAAAACTCTTGGTTGTTGCCATATCAAGGATGCAAGGTTAATATATAAAAATCAGTTGCTTTTCTGTTTAGCAGCAATGAAAAATTAGAATTTAAAATTAGCAACACTCTCCATTAGAATCAGGACATGTTTTGTTTTGTTTTAAGGGCATATTTTGAAAGGTGAATGAATAGTGATTATCTAACTTGATTTTTAACAGAGTAAAGAAACTGAATATACAAATTGCAGCCTTGATTTAAAAGTTCTCTTTCATGGCTGGGAATATAGCTCTGTTGGTAAAGTGCTTGCCTCTACCAAAGTTCTCTTTCAAACGTAACTGAAAGTGAATAAAATGTAACATGTACTTATTCTGCTATGAAATATTTTCAAATATACGTTTATATATGCCCCAAATTGGGGCTTTATTATCATACATAGCTCTTCCTTTATCAGGAAATTCTGATCTGTTTATAATATGTTTTTTGTAGTCTTGTATTTAGAAAATAGCTATTAAGAGAATTTTTCTGGAAGGGGAGTGGGGGAAAGGAGGAGGAAAAGGTTAGGGGAGGTATTAGAGAGTGAAATTGATCAAATTATGTTATATTCATGTACCAATATACCACAATGAAGCCCACCGATTTGTGTAATTAATATGCACCAACAAAAAAATTTCTTCAGTGGTAGAGTTCTTGCCTAGCATCTGAGGCCTTTGTTTGGATCCCTGGCACTAGAGGGGAAAAAAAGAAGAATTTTTCCTAGAAAACAGGTTTATTTGATGTGCCAATCTTCAAAAATCTACCAGGTGTTCTGGCCTATTTTCTGAACTAGTCAAGAAAAGAGATAATCCAAAGACTGGGAAGTAGAAAGAAGTGGGAATACTACAAGGTACTGGGAAGGGTTTATTCCTATCCTTTTGCTGTGTCAACTTTTTAATGGTGAGTGGTAAGTATGTCTTATTCCTACAGTTTTACTTTGGTGAGAAAGGCCATGCATTGGAGAGAAAATTTATGTATCAAATTCCTTAATCAGAGCAACAGCCAATCACATTTACCATTAGAACTCATGCTAAAGACAGAACGCAAACATTTGAACAAAACATGAATAGCAGTTTTGAAAGTCTAAACAGACTGGAAGGATTGCCATAGATCAAGGGTTCTGAAACTTTGGCATGCATCAGAATTACCTAGAGGATCTATTAAGACATAAATGGCCACCCCCAAGGGTGTTGATTCAATAGATCTGTGGGAATCTAAGAATTTGTATTTCCAAGTAATACGGATGCTGCTAATCCTGGGACCACGCTTTCAGAATCATTGACCTCTGTCTGCCCCATTGGATACTGATGAACAAAACCAATAGAAACTATGTGTTGTATGTTTTCATTTCTAGGACATGTCTTTAATTCTTGTTCTAAATCAACATCTTATTTGCATCTTCGAGTATGCTTATTGCTGTTTGGGCTGCTCTGTTAATAACTTAGTAATTGGAGCCTGGGTTCTTTGCTATTTCATGAGAACAGTGCCATCTAGAGGCCTTAGCCCAGAGGGCTACCATGGGCCAAAGGAGGCTGTGGTGTCTAGAGAGGGTGAAAAGACAATTCGTTACCATGAAGAATTTATTGACAGCCAACTAGATTATCATGTGTGGTATTGCAGGGGAATAGAAGGAGATGACATGCCAGTCTTTACTTTTAGGACAGTGATTCTGGGTAGCTCAAAAGTTCTGTGAAGGCTGAGCCTGGGCCTTACCAATGCCCATTTGAGCAGAACAGTTGTGCTTTCATCTGTTTTACATGTTGAACGTTGTGTTTGAAAGTGTATGCTCTAGAAGGTTGCTTTGTGTAGACAGGACAGATATATTATATTCGCCATCCAAGATTATTGTCCTAAGGTACAAGTTTTCTGACACCCAAAGTACGATGTGAAAAATATGTATTGAGAGAAAGCCATAATGACACATCAGATGGCAACAGTATGTTTTGCTTCATATTAGCACGTGTTAAAATTATGCACAGTTGGAAATAATATTCTAGTTGCACCACATTATCACAGTCACAAATTGACTATAATTGAGAGAACAGATGTTCACCAATGTCAGAAGGGATGATTCAAAAAGAAAAAAGTGAAAAGAAAATTTGAGGAATTAGAAGTATAACTGTTTTTTTGGCTTTAATTTACTAGAATCATTACCAACAATTTTAAGTTATTTGTTCAAGAAGTACAAAATAGAAGCTAGAAATCATACTGGTTCAGTTTAACAGATTAAAAACATTACCTAAAAATATCTCAAAAAATCTTGTAATTAGTGATGAATTTGAATAATGCATTATCTAAAATGTTATCAACTACTGCCACTACAGTCTCCCAAATGGAAAGAAAGAGAGAAAAACCTGTAGAGCTTTCTTTTTTGCTGGGACTAGACGAGCAGAGACATGAGGAAAGATGGACTGACTAGATGAGCCCTAAGCAGGAATAGTCAGTCAGTCCAGTCTCAGGACTCACAGTCAGTAGGAATGAAAGCAGGTCTCTGGGTGGAAAGAAGTAGCAAAACTAAGAGACAGGACAAGGGAAGAAGTCAAAATCAAGTGCAGTGTTAGAGTCTCAGGACAGAGGGAAGGACTAGGGAGTGTCAATGTGGCAGTTCTTTCCAATATCACCGACCAGACCATGCTGCTGCAGGCTCACAGTCCTTAGAGGTCTTCTCAATGCTCAGAAAATGAGAGCAAACTCCTTGGTGTGATCGGTATGATCGTTCATGCCCTTCTTGATTAGTCACAGTCTTCCTTTTTGTTCCACCTCTCCCAGTAACCACAGATAGCCCCAGAACTCATGGCTGTTTCTGAAATCTCATCTCACACTTCTGTGCTTCTTGCTCTGTTTCCTAAGTCTATAACAGTATGTTCGTGCTGAATCTCTCTCCTGTTTCCCACACTTCTTCTGTGAAGTCTTAATAGCAGATCACTGGTGTTAGTCAAGTGGAAAGCGTAATTTGAGGACCCTTGATTTCACCATCTGTTTAGAAAATAATAATTTAAAAATATTTTTAAGATGTATGCTTGGAATTTACAGCTTTTTATTATTAAGATAAATAATAGTTTTAAATAGAGTGCCTATCTACATCCTCTCCACATGTTGCATACCTTCAGAATTAGGAGCCGCACCCATGTTTTGATACAAGGAACTTACAGAATATTTAGGGTACCTAGAACAGATGAGCCTAAGGTATGAGTAAACTTTCATATCAGCTTAGCAAACTTGAGTCAGTTGTGAAAAGAAGGCCTTTCAGATCTGTGAATTAAGTAAGCATAAAGAATTAGGGACCATGGTTCTCATCCAGCTGCTTCCTTGGTGTTTCCCATGAACACAGAGCATCCTTTGGTGATTCTGTGCCCCATTTGAATAATAAAGAAGTGAAGGATAGTTTTCCCTATACATTAGAGGTCAGATACCTGGGAACAGTATATTTAAGCATTGTTTTAATATTTTGAGAAATTTTTAAAAACATAAAAGTTTAATAGTTTCTACAATTATATAACAGTTCAAGTTTTTTTTACTCACAATTGACAGATAACACTGCCATATACTTTGATATTTTTATCAATAAAAATAAATGAAGTAAAATAATACATTAAAAGGTTTTGTCTTTTTTGTAGATAATTTCCAGTTCTGCTATCATAAATTTAGAGTAAATATATAATGGTTCTTTTTATATTCTTCATTATTTATGTAAGATGAACAATACATGGTATGATTTTGTGTCTTATAAAGAACTTACCTAAGAAATAAACCAAATACTCCTCTTGCTCAAAGCATTTTTTCAATATGAAGTTCTGTCGTTAGCCTTTTTAATTCTACATATAAGTTGTTTGATTACAATTGTTGTTAAGATATAGTTTTGTAGAACAGAAAGGAAGAGTTCAGTAGTTAAGAAAATTCTTGTGTGAGATGTAGAGAGTTATGGTCTACAGATCTAGTCTTAGCAAAAGGCTCAGGTAGTGCTGAAATCATATCAGTACTGTGGTCATGGAAGACCTTAAATGCTATATGAAAATATATAAAGTTATGTATTTGTGTTCAGTGTGTAGCTACACATGTATATGTATGTGTGTATGTATATATAATTAAATATGTAGTTAAATTTAGACTGTTCTGCTTGCATTCAAATTATAATTAAATTTGTACACTTATAGTAATGAGCATGTAACAAAGAATGTTGTCTAGTATTTATCTTAGGTAACTTAAGGGTGCCTTATTTTTTATGAATCCAAAGGAGGATTACCTTTTATCATGATCCATTAAAACCCTATTCTTTTCCCAAATGCTTTAGATAATTTCTTGAGGTTTTTATAATTGTGTTTTTATGTATATTTCTTCTTCTTGGACTGTGATCTTCTCGAAGGCAGGGATAATTTTTCATTACATCTTGAAGAATCTGAAAAATAGTTCATTTGTGACAGAAAAGAAAATTAGTTCAAGCAAGTCAAAAGATGTACTGGTTAAAAGAAACAATTTACAACATTCCTACCTGGATCTTTCGAGTCTGAGTTCTTTAAAAAAGATTATCTAAAATATTAAGGCAGTGTAGGATTTTCTTGGTTGTTTATTAATAATAAAAACTAACCTAAACTGGAGGTTCTCAATGTGTGGTCCTGAAATCAGCACATCAGCATCTCCTAGAAACTTAGAGATGCAAATTCTTGGGCCCAAACCCAGACCTACTGACTCAGAAACTCTGGTGGTAGGACTCAGCAATCTGTTTTACAAGACCCTTCAGGGAATTCTGATGCATGCATGCTCAAGTTTAAGAATCACTTACCTAAACTACAGTAGTTCGTGGAATAGTTGAAAGATCATGGGCTTTGAGGACAAAAAGACCCAAATTGGAATCTCACCTCTTCTACTTAGTCTGTGACTGTCCCTCTGTTACATGATACCTACAGTGTTGAGATTTTCATCTGGAAAATGAAAATGATAATATTTCCTCTACCATGCGGCCTGCGCAGTGGTTTCATTAATGAGGTTCTAGGCATAAAGTTAGTTAGAAGAGATCGAAATAAAACACACAGACTCAGTTACCTTATTTCTATTGCTAGGTCTGAGACGGCTCCCCTCTCTGGTTCCCTCCTCTAACCGCCCAGCAGGGCAGCAGGGCAGCAGGGATTACTCAGGGCTAGCAGGAGAGAGAGAGAGAGTGAACACGCTGGGGAGTAGCCTTTTATTGGGGAACAAGAGATTCAGGGGAGAATTTCATCCAATGAAGGTTGAGGGGGGCTGCACTCCAAGGTCAGGGTCAGTGATTGGGTCCCCGGGGTCAGTGGTCAGGCACCCCCCCACACGGGTGGGCTCTCTCATCAGGAAAGGGCTGGGAAAGCTTCGACACAGCCAAAGCGCCTCAGACCCTTAATGGGAGCCACCCAATCACGTGTCAGAAATGGCTTCCCACAATTTCCCTCTCAAGATTGTTGTGAGGATTGATTGATATTATTTAATTACCTAATACACTGTAGCCTTTTGATAAATGATCAGTATTTTTTTAAGATTTTTCCAGTTTAGTATGTTTACTTATTGAATGAAAGCATGTTCTTGTTTTTGCTTTTAGATGCAAATGCTCAAGAAATTAAGGACATCTATGGACTACATGGTCAGATAGAACACAAACTAGCTTTCCTGAGAACCCATGTGCCAAAGGAAGTAAAGCTTATGCTCATTGGCCATTCAATAGGCAGCTACATTGCTCTTCAGATCTTGAAGCGTGCCCCTGAGCTTCCAGTAAGTATGCCTTAGGAGGTGACAGTCCACACCTTATTGTGCACTGTATGCATTCTCCTCAGAACTTTGTCTCTTGGTTAATGGAGAGAGGGATACTTGATGGCTTCCTTCATCTTCACTTCCCATTACTGTGGGCCTAGATAAGTATATGTTCATGAAATTCCCATAGTTTAAAAAAAAATAATAGAAATGGAATTTTCTCAATGAATGCCTTTGAATTTAGAGTTGTCTAGAATTCTGATGCTGCATTTAACTTGCTGTATTTTATAAAGGAATATTTAAAAGTAGTTACCATCCAAGAAATAGAAAGCTCTGTATTGGGAGGGTATTTTGCAAATATTCATGTCTCCTTTTAGAAGCAAAAAATGTATTATCTTCATTGATAGGTAAACAGCTGTCCTTATGGAACACTAGGTCTTTATTTAGTCATAAATCCACATCTTCTGTAGTTTGCCAGGTTTTTTAAATATTTATTTTTAAGTTGTAGTTGGAAAACAATACCTTTGTTTTATTTATTTATTTTTTATGTAGCCCAGGGCCTCGCACATGCTTAGGCAAGCGCTCTACCACTGAGCCACAACCCCAGCCCTTACCAGGCTTTTTGAGACACACATTTGTTCTTTTATTCACACATATTTAATGTTACTGTGTATCAGATATTAATTGAGGTACTGGAGACAGGAAGACATATTAAAAATGCCTAGGAAAGCAAAAGCACTACATAAGACTTAAAACAAAAACTGTACTTTCACTAAAATGTACCATTAAAATAACCCATTGAATGGATGCAATCCATTAGATAACTTATTTCTTCATTCAATAAACTTATATTAAGCATCACCATGTGTCAGATACTGTGACATGTTTTGAAGACATCCCACTGAATAAGACAATTTGAGGAAAGAGAGCCGGGACAGTCATGGAGGACAAATCCTAACCAACGCTCATGACAATTGCTGCCTTGTAGTTCTCTGTCCTAAGATTTTGACTTTTTCCCTTCTTTTCACTACATGTGATAAAATATCTCCAGTAGGTTCTTGGAGCTCACTATGCATTTGTTCCTTTTCCCACCAGCTTGACACACTCATTTATTCATCATTGCCTGGAAAAGGTATTAATTATAACCTCCCTGACTATGGTTTTTAGTACTAAGTGGGTTTTTTTTTTTAAATTTTCTCTTATTGGGTATTAAAAAACATATTTTTCATCTCTAAATGTAAATTCAAGCTTGTACTTTATTTATTGTATTATTGCTCTGCTCTGTTCTCCCCCCCCCCAACTCCCAGATAAGGTGTTTTAAAATAAGAAAACACTCTTTATTTCTGCTTTTAGCATTTTGCTTGACTACTAACCTCTACTGTGCTTTTGAAATTTCCTCTAGTACTATATTGTGTGGGTACTATCTTCAGAGTGTCCAGGCCTTCCTCTTGGTGGTTCTGCTTTCGTAAGTGCTATGAGCTCTGTTCCTAAAGCAAGAACACCCAGGTTCAAATACTTGCTGTCATATTTTTTCTGTATGACCTTAGACAAGTTATTAAGTCTCTAACTCAGTTTCCTTATCTGTAAAATGGGATAATAATATGTTCTTCAAAGGATTCTTGTGAAAATTATATAAAGTATTAGCAATGATAGCTGGAACTTAAAACTTTCAAATAGGTCTTATCTGTTACTGTTATAGAAATGACACTAGAATCAACAGCTCAGTCAATAGGTTAACTACTGTATTGGTTACCTACTGCTATATGTCAAATTGCCCCAAATTTAGTAGTGTAAGACACATTTAGTCTCTCACAGTTTCTATTTAGAATTCTTGCCACACTTAGCTGGATCCTCTGTTGCAGGGTCTCTCATAAGTTTGTAATTAAGTTGTCTTCCAGGGGTGCATTGTCTTCTGAAAACTTGAGATGAATCTGCTTCCAAGCTCACTCATGTGGTTTGCTGGCAAGACTCAGTTCCCTGAAAATTGCTGGACTGAGAATCTTGGTTCATCATTGGCAGTTGTGGGTGAAAGGGGGGAGCTACCCTCCTCTCTAGCTTGCTTCATCTTTAGCCTCTCTAGCTTGCTTCATCTGTGTAAACCTGGGAGAAGAGACAGACAGACTCTGCTGGCAAGATAAAAGTCATAGTCTGTAACCTGTAACCTACAGAAGTGATATTATATCACTTTTGCTCTATTTTTTTTGTTAGAATCAAGTCACTAGGTGCAGCCACATGTAAGGAGAGGAAATTACACAAAGGCCTGCATTCCAGGATGGGAGGCACCTTGGAAGCCATGTCAGAAGCTGCCTATCCCACCACTGTACAATTAGGATTTCACTCGTGTGGAATATATAAATTGAAGTACTAAATTGATTTTCTACTAAAGGCAGTGACTTGGTCCTGCCAAATAAAATGCAGCAAACTGATATGAAATATAATTTTTGGTTATTAGTTGTTCAGATGTTTTTAAAGCTTTAAAAACATTTAAATTTTTAAATTTTTTCTTTTAATATTTAAAATAGTAATAATTTACCATTCTATAAATGTAAAGAAAAAAATGCTCATTTCTGAACTTATCAGAGTCTGTTAACTTAATCACAGGTCTGTGTTTTTTGTTTGCTTGCTCCAGATCCATTCTATATGTAATATTTGGTTTCTCTTGTGTACACTGAAAATGATTGTTTAACACATTCATTTTGAATTCTTCTCATTTGGGGGGCTTGCCTTTTCAGTGTCTGTTGAGAAAGAAGTACAATAGTGCATCTTACAGTTATATACATTATTATAGCTTCTTCAACTCCCTAACTTTATATTGTCTTATTTTCATGTATTTTGCCCATGTAAGAGTGGTAGTGAATGGGACTGTGGGTGTGGCTCAGTGGTAGAGCATTGTGCAAAGCCCTGGGTTCAATCCCCAGCACCAAAAATAAATAACTAAATAACAATTTTTTAAAAAGAATAATGGAGAAAAGGCAAAAAAAGATGAACCACAAGCTTAACCTAGTCTTATTTGTAGAGACATAGCTCACACTGTGATCATAGAGTTTGCAGAGATTGTGAAACTTTTTTATCTTCATTAAAAGCGTGTATGCTAGAAAATAATCTGTGTAATAAATTATTCATAAAAGGCACTTTGGGGGGCATCTGTATGATTTTTTTTAATTCAGAAGTTTTATCTGGTTTCAGTTAACCACATTTTTTGCAACCCCAACCCCAAACACCTGGGCCAGTTTATTTTAGTGGTGTGATCCCCACTGAAGTGTTGAAATTTCAGTGTCTTTAGGCTACTCTAAGACAACACAGTGCCTGCGTGCCTAAAGTTAGCATGACACGCTCCATTTGAGATGCATTTGACAATCAAGTGAGCTTGTGTAAGCCAGAGTGTTGCAATCCCTAATCATCTTGCCAAAAATAAGTTAGCTGTTATGTTTTATAACATATGAAGTGTGATAATAAGAAACTTGTGTTTTCATCTCTTCTGTTATTTTTACTGGAATTTTTGACTCCCATAAGATTTCGAGGTCACATTTGTAGTTGAGTAGCTGGTTTATTTGGTATTATTTTGGTTCAGTTCATTTTAATATTTTTATAACTTATCATAGGCAACCTTGGTCTTAAATCATTTTAAGAGACTTATTGCATATTTGAGATATGTTGTCTGACCTATATTTTAATATGATGTTTATATTTTTTATTTGTTTCTTTAGGCAAGTTTGCCACAGACATATAGAATATTTTCAGTCATTTTGACATTGTTTCTTAAAAGAAAATAGTTAATTGAAAACTATTGCATAAGTAGCTGTCATAATAATAAGCACAATTGTCTCTGGACTCATAGAATCGTGGAGCTGAAGTGGGCTTTAGAGACTATCTAGCCACATCTTTCATTTTATAGGTGAGAAGTGAGAGAAAGGTACCTTGCCAGGATTCAGCCTTGGCTCACTCTGAATCCTGGGGTGAGGTACACATACATTAGCTGTGGGTATAGAGACAGCCTAAGAAAATATCTCATGGCTCTCAATGATAGCAGCACGTGCTGATATGATGGTGTGGCTCTACAGTGCACATGAAGAGATTTATGTGACATGTTGTGTTGTAGCTTGAGGAGTATGAGGCCAGTAAAAGCTCTAGCAATTGAGAGAGAGAGGAGACTGATGACATGGAAATAAAAAAGTATTAGTCTTATCCTCACTATCAGGAATCTACTTTCTCTCATCCTCAGCCCTCTGTCTGTTAAAAATGTGCCATCTGATTTTGCCAGTAAATCATTTGCATAAAATTCAAGATTGGGAGTTGCCTGGGCATTGCACTGAGTTGGGGGTAGACCTCAAGTAATTAAATTATTTTCCTCTAAGAATTATATATCATTTAATGATAACCATTCCTCTTCTTCCAGAGATAGCATGTACTTTGTAAACTTTAGTTTTTAAATTATTTGGCCTTCTTGAGGGAAAACGCACAATAACATAGAGCTTCTTTTGTCTGCCTGCTTAGCAAGTTATCTTCTGAGTGAAACTTCTGAATTGCTTAAACTGACTCCTTTAAGTGCAAGATTGTTTTGTCCAATTGTATAAAAATCTGTGTATGGGCAGGGGATATAGCTCAGTTGGTAGAGTGTTTGCCTCACATGCATAAAGCCCTGGGTTCAGTCCCCAGCACCACACACACACACACACACACACACACACACACACACCAAAAAAAAAAACTGTTTAAAATATCATTCAGTCTTGTTTGTTGTTGTTGTTATTGTTTCTGTTGAGATCCCCCCAAATAAGTGTTTTGTAGTATTTTAGATACTCAAAATATACCACAACTGCAGCTGAGAAGCTTAAACAACTACTTAGAGGTAACATATATAGGTCTTGTGTATGTTATTTCTGTCTGCATTGGTAAAAAACAAACCCACGTATTCTGCCAACAAGGAGACAATGGAGACTGGAGTGTGCTGCACTGCTCTGCTAACCTTCATGTCTGCAGTCAGACATGTTTGTGAGTGACACTCATGAAGTCACTATTGT